TGACCAATCTTTTATTCCTTGTAAAATATTAATGTAGTCATGTACAGAAAAGGAGAATAATTTAGGTTACGGAAGCCAATTTACTTTCAAATGTATTCCTTGACAGAGCTGGCTGTAGCTTTCAATATTACACTAGAGAATATATATAGTATTCTTTTAAATTATCGTATACAGTTTGACTTGAGGTGATTCCCATCTCCACATTGCATTGCAATCAGAATATGAGACGAAAGACCACAAAGAACTGTTTGTCTCTCTAGTCAAACAGAAATCAAAACAGAACGCAAAGTCACTGGAGAACACCTTAAGCAGCAGATTTGGACCTCATTTTTTTCTTGTTGACATAATGAAATGTTCCACATTTTTTTGGGGGGGAGGGGGAGCTAAACAAACACTGATCAAAGCTGATAGGGCTCTAATGCTCAGTCTCTCTCACTAGGTTACAATGATTTAATTGGTTAAATACCAAGAATCACACACTGCTATAAAGCTAACCTAAAATCCAGAATTAAAAAAAAAAAAAAGATATACACACACACAGTTAGGTCCATACAGTTGTGTTCAAAATAATAGCAGTGTGTTGATAAAAGTGAATAAAGCTCAAAATACTTCTAATAGCTTTTATTTCCATACACACAAATGCATTGGGAACACTACACATTCTATTTCAAATCAAAACAAAGAAAAATATATCACATTTGTGTTGTTCCTCTAAAAAAAAAATTGAAGAAAAGTGAATATTAGACTGTTCAAAAAAATAGCAGTGTTTCTATTCTTCTTTACAAACTCAAACATTCAATATATAAACTGAAAAATGTTTGAAGATTTTGCTTTCCTTTGAATCACTTAATTAATATTTAGTTGAATAACCACTGTTTCTGAGAACTGCTGTACATCTGTGTTGCATGGAGTCAACCAACTTCTGGCACCTGTGAACAGGTATTCCAGCCCAGGATGATTGGACTACATTCCACAGTTCTTCTCCATTTCTTGGTTTTGCCTCAGAAACTGCATTTTTTGATGTCACCCCACAAGTTTTCTATTAGATTAAGATCTGGGGATTGGGCTGGCCACTCCATAACGTCAATCTTGTTGGTCTGGAACCAAGATGTTGCACGTTTACTGGTGTGTTTGGGGTCGTTGTCTTGTTGGAACACCCATTTCAAGGGCATTTCCTCTTCAGCATAAGGCAGCATGACCTCTTCAAGTATTCTGAGGTATTCAAACTGATCCATGATCCCTGGTATGCGATAAATGGGCCCAACACCGTAGTATGAGAAACATCCCCATATCATGATACTTGTGCAACCATGCGTCACTGTCTTCACAGTGTACTGTGGCTTGAATTCAGTGTTTGGGGTAGTCTGACAAAATGTCTCAATTGGGTTGAGATCATGCTCAATTGGGTTGAGATCAGCTGACTAACTCGGCCATTGCAAAATATTCCACTTGTTTTCCTTAACCATTAGCCGCCCGGCCTATAGCCATTTGGCTATAAAAAAATGCTTCACCACTCCGGGTGCACGCCATTTGGCGTGCTCCCGCACATGCGCAGTTCACGCGGTTGCAGAGCCGCGCAGCAGCGCGATCTGTCACCGGCCGTGTACCTCGGACACGGCCGATGACAGATCTGAGTACCGGCCCCCGTTGCCGGTGCCATGTGACCTGCTGTGACCAATCACAGCAGGTCACATGACAGTTGTATACAATGGATGGCTTCATTCATGCCATCCATTGTATACTAGTGCCTAGCTGTGAATGGTCACAGCAGGTCACATGCACATGTTATGTGATTAGCTGTGGCCAAATCACAGCTAAGCACAAAAAAAAAAAAAAAAAAAAACCAAAGAATCGATTTCATTCTGGTAAATACTTGCTTTTAGCAAAGTAATTCTTTGCTATAAGCAAGTTGTGTAAAAAAAAAAAAAAAATACTGATCACTTCCCCATAGTACAATGTTACTATGGTAACATTGTACTACTTTGGTCATAGTAAAATATGAAAAAAAATCTTTAAAAAAATTTAAAAAAATGTAATAAATAATTAAAAATAATAAAAAAATATATATATATATTTTTTTTTCATTCTGTCACCAATCAGTGTCCCTGTTCACCGCCATGCCAGTTATATGATGACGCTGTACTGCACTGGTGACTGTATGTAAAAAAAAAAGTGAAAATAATTTTTTTACTTTTTTCATTTTCCGAAAAATTATGACAAAAAAATACAACTTCAAAAAACGCGCCATTCCTCTTATGAAGTACGTCCGACGGTCTACTCTGCAAAAAGGGGTCATTTGGGGGATATCTGTACTGTTCTGACATTCTTGGACCTCAAGAAATTAGATTGTTGTAGATTGCTGTCAGTACTTTTCAGATCTATACCATAGTTTGTGAACTCTATAACTTTCCTACAAACTAAAAAATACATCCTAATTTGGGTTATTTTCACCAAAGACATGTAGCAGAATACATCTTGGCCTACATTTATGAAGAACACTTATTTATTTACAAACGTTTATAACAAAAACAAAGAAAAACGTGTTTTTTTTTCTAAATTTTCAGTCTTTTTTTGTTAATTTAGCAAAAAAAATAAAAACCCCAGTGGTGATTAAATACCACCAAAAGAAAGCTCTAGTTGTGTGAAGAAAATGATAAAATTTTAGTTTGGGTACAATGTTGTATGACCGCGCAATTGTCATTCAAAGTGTGAGAGCGCTGAAACGTGAAAAATGGCCTGGGCAGGAAGGTGTAAAATTGCCCGGTATTGAAATGGTTAAAGAGCTCCTAGGTTGCTTTTGCAGTGTGTTTTGGATCATTGTCCAACTGTACTCTGAAGCGCCATCCAATCAACTTTGCTGCATTTGGCTGAATCTGGGCTGACAGTACATCTCTAAACACTGCAGAATTCATCCAGCTGCTTCTGTCTTCTGTCACATCATCAATAAACACCAATGACCCAGTGCCACTGGAAACCATGCATGCCCATGCCATCACACTGCCTCCACCATGTTTTACAGATGACGTTGTTTGCTTTGGATCATGAGCTGTTCCAAGTCTTCTCCACACTTTTTTCTTCCTGTCATTCTGATACAGATTAATCTTAGTTTCATCCATCCAAAGAATGCTTTTCTAGAACTGGTCTGGCTTTTTTAGATGTTTTTTGGCAAAGTCTAATCTGGCTTTTCTATTCTTCAAGCTTATGAATGGTTTGAACCTTGTGGTGAACCCTCTGTATTTGCGCTAGTGAAGTATTCTCTTGATTGTAGACTTTGACAATGATACGCCCACCTCCTGGAGAGTGTCCTCCACTTGTCTGGATGTTGTGAATGGATTTTTCTTTACCACAAAGAGGATCCTGCTTTCATTTACCACTGTTGTCTTCCGTGGACGTACATGCCTTTTTATGTTCCTGAGCTCACCAGTGCGTTCTTCTTTCCGAGAATGTACCAAACTGTTGATTTGTTTTGTTTTTGAAGCCTTACAATTGCCTGTTGCATGGACAGCTCCTTTGAACACATGATGTAGGTTCACAGCAAGAGATTCCAAATGAAAATACCACACTTAGAATCAAATCTAGAACTTTTATCTGCTTAACTGATGAAGAAATAATGAAGGAGTAGCCCACACCTGGCCACGAAACAGCTTTTGATTCTATTGTCCAATTACTTTTGGTCCCTTAAAAAAGGGGGGTGGCTACTCTTAAGAGCTGTAATTCCTAAACCCTTCCTCAAATTGTGCACTTTCAGTCCATATCAATTATATAACTATAGCTTGAATATGTTTTGGTAAATACCTGAAAAAACTAAAATTGTGCCTGTGTCCAAATATATATGGACCTAAACACACACGCACACACACCTCAGCATAAATGAGTATACCCCTTTTGAAAAGTACGATTTGAATCAATATCTCAACAAACACGAACAACTTCCAACATTTTGACAAAGCTGAGTTTTATAGAACCCTTGTTTAGCTTATTACATGAAAGTAAGGTTAATAATATAAAACTTAGATTACAAAATCTTCAGTGTTACTCAAAGTAGTTGATGCAAAAATGAATACACCCCACAACAAAAAGTACTACATCTAGTATTTTGTATGACATCCATAATTTTTAAGGACAGCACCAAGTCTACCAGGCACGGAATGAACAAGTTGGCGACATATAACAACATCTATCTTTTTCCATTTTTCAAGAATAACCTCTTTTAGAGCCAGGATGCTGGATGGAGAGTGATACTCAACTTGTCTCTTCAGAAATCCCCTTAGTTGGGTTCAGATCAGGAGACATACTTAGCCACTGAATCACTATCACCCTGTTCTTCTTCAGAAATGCAACAGTGGCCTTAGATGTGTGTTTTGAATCATTGGCATGTTGGAAAAGTGTACGACAACCAAGGGCACAGAGTTATGGTAGCATCTTCTCTTTCAATATTGAGCAGTATATATGTAAATTCATAATGCTATCAATGAAATACAGCTCTCCAACACCAGCAGCACTCATGCAGCCCCACAAAAGGACACTGCCACCACCATGTTTCACTGTAGGCACCATGCAGTTTACTTTGTACTCCTCACCGTTGCGACGCCATACAGTTTTGAATGCATCAGTTCCAAAAACCTTTATCTTGGTCATATCACTACACTGTACAGAGTCAGAGTAGATTTCTTCTTTTTCAGCATTGGCCTTGGACAATTTTAGGTAGGTTTTTTTGCTGCTGAAAGAGAGGCTTCCTTCGTGGAAGACTGCATGCCATTCCTCTACAGTCTACACCAGGGGTCCTCAAACTTTTTAAACAGGGGGCCAGTTCACTGTCCCTCAGACCGTTGGAGGGCCGGACTATAGTTTAAAAAAAAAAAAAACTATGAACAAATGCGGACACAGTACAGGAGATGACCAGAGACTGCGGACATACAACGGCGGCGGGAATAGTGGGCTGGCCGCTCCATAAGATGCACAGACATTTCCCCCCAAGTGTGTCTTATGGAGCGAAATAGTGCCCCATCATTGGTGTCAGTGGGAGGAATAGTGCCCCATCATTAGTGTCAGTGGGAGGAACAGTGCCCCATCATTTGGTGTCAGTGGAAGGAACAGTGCCCCATCATTGGTGTCAGTGGAAGGAACAGTGCCCCATCATTGGTGTCAGTGGGAGGAACAGTGCCCCATCATTGATATCAGTTGGAGGAATAGTGCCCCATCATTGGTGTCAGTGGGAAGAATCGTGCCCCATCATTAGTGTCAGTGGGAAGAATAGTACCCCATCTTTGGTGCCAGTGGGAGGAATAGTACATCATTGGTGTCAGTGGGGGGAATAGTGCCCCATCATTGGTGTCAGTGGGAAGAATAGTGCCCCATCTTTGGTGTCAGTGGGAGGAATAGTGCCCCATCATTGGTATCAGTGGGAGGAATAGTGCCCCATCATTGGTGTCAGTGGGAGGAATAGTACGTCATTGGTGTCAGTGGGGGGGAATAGTGCCCCATCATTGGTGTCAGTGGAAAGAATAGTGTCCCAACTTTGGTGTCAGTGGGAGGAATAGTATGTCATTGTGTCAGTGGAGGGGAATAGTGCCCCGTCATTAGTGTCAGTGGGGAGGTAGTGTTTCATCATTGGTGTCAGTGGGGGGATAGTGTCCCATCATTGGTGTCAGTGGGGGAAGGAATAGTGTTCCATCATTGGTTTCAGTGGAGGGTGGAATAGTGCCCCATCGTTGGTGTCAGTGGAGGGTGGAATAGTGCCCCATCATTGGTGTCAGTGGAGGGTGGAATAGTGCCACATTGTTGGTGTCAGTGGGGGGAGGAATAGTGTCCCATCATTGGTGTCAGTGGGAGGAATAATGCCCCATCATTCGTAAAAGTGACACTAATGATGGGGCACTATTCCTCCCACTGAGACCAATGATGGGGCACTATTCCTCCCACTGACACCAATGACACGTAACTTGCTGACCCCTGCTCCAGCCTAGGTGCTGCTGCAGCCAGCATACTGGTTGCAGCAGCACCATCAGCACGGCACACTTACCTGTCAGCTGTCCTTCTTCACTCCGGCCTCTCTCTCACTCAATATTCGCGGGGCTGCTCGGCTCCGCCTCCTCGCAGGTGATTGGCCGCCTGTGTGCCTTTCCTGAGCTACAGTTCTGGCGCCCAATCACCGGTGAGGAGGTGGAGCCAAGCGGCAGGAGTGAGGGAGTGGCCAGAGCGAATGAAGGAGAAGCGCTTCCTGGACTGGATCGTCGTGGGACTGGGACCGGAGCCAGGTAAGGTACAGAAGCCCCCTGCCCCGCCCCTGTACTTAGTGTCCCTTCCTGTCCCGCCCCTGCCGGCGGGCCGGATAAGTGGCCTTGGCGGGCCGCATGTGGCCCACGGGCCGTAGTTTGAGGACCCCTGGTCTACACCATATTGTGTCAGGGGAAACAATCACCCCAGTTTGGCTTTCTACTTCTTTAGCTAACTGCAGTGAATTTGCATTGCGAATTTCTTCAACCCTTCTCATCAGAAGACGCTCGAGGTGTTAACTTCCGTGGACAGCTTGGTCTCTGTGATATGGCTGCAGTTCCATCTTTACTAAACCTTGTATCACTTTTTCCATAGTATTCTGACTGATAAGTAAAGCTTTGCTGATCTTCTTGTAGCCTTCAATTTTCTTGTGTAAATAAATTATTTTCTCTCTTCCATGTGGTGCCATTGATGACAGCATGAAATAGGAAGGGGTTTCTTTGTTAAGTAATGCCCTTTTATAATCAATTGTCTGCTGGACACCTGTTTAACCACTTGCCTACCTGGCACTTGTACCCCCTTCTTTACCAGGCCAATTTTCAGCTTTCAGCACTGTCGCACTTTGATTGACAATTTCTCGGTTATGCAAGATTGTACCCATATGAAATTTTTATCATTTTTTTTTCTCACAAATAGAGCTTTCTTTTGGCGGTATTTACTTGTCGTTGGGTGTTTGTCTTACTTTTTGCGCTATAAACAAAAAAAGTGCAATTTGGAAAAAAAAAAAAGTTTCTTTGTTTCTATTATAAAATTTTGCAAACAGGTAATTTTTCTCCTTCACTGATGTGCGTGGATGAGGCAGCAATGATGGGCACTGATAGGCAGCACTGATGGGCACTGATAGGCGGCACTAATGAGGTGACACGGATAGGCGTTGTTCTGTCCCAACATGAAGGCAAATGAAGGTATAACAGATAATGGCTGTGTGACTTCCTACCTTCGTATCCAAGCAGTGGAGCAGACCGGACCTGCAGATGCTCGGGTTAGATGGATCCAAACGTATACACGGGAATGAAATCAGCGTGGGTTTATTTGATCCAAATACAGCGACAAACGGTGATACAATACTGTAATGTAGTAGAGGTATTGATGCTGTCCTGTGATATCTTTCATGAGGCTAACTGCTGGTCAAAAACGGATGCCTTCACAAGCCCAGGGTATTGAATGTCCTGTTACACGATGGACCATGATATCCAAGTATCAGAGATTTTGCAATGCCTAGCAGACCTGAAGACGGGCAAACGCCCAGGTCCAGATGGATACACGGCGCTATACTACAAGAAGTTGATGTGCTTGCCCCTCACCTTGCCACCATGTTTAACGCGGTAAAGGGAGGTTCGAACTTTTCTCTGGACTCTTTGACTGCCAATGTGGTTATGATCCCTAAACCGGATCGAGATCTTTCTTCCTGGGCAAACTATAGGCCTATTTCTCTTATAAACATCGATATGAAAATCCTTACCAAAATTTTGGCCACTCGACTGAATTCTTTCCTTTCTCGTCTGATAAAAGAGGACCAGGTAGGATTTGTCCCTCACAGACAAGCTGGAGATGCCATCAGACGTATTTTACAACTACAACATTTAGCCCATACTCGCAAAATTGATATGATGCTCCTATCTTTAGATATCAACATGGCTTTCGACACTTTATCCTGGCCTTATCTTTTATCGGTCCTTAACTGCTTTGGCTTTAGCCCCTCGTTCCTAAGATGGATCTCTTCACTATATACATCCCTTCAAGCAAAACGTAAATATTATGGATTCGAGTCCTCCACATTCTCGATTGCCAGGGGTACTAGACAAGGTTGTCCGCTTTCCCCCATACTTTTTATTTTAGCCTTGGAACCGTTGGCAGAAGCCATTCGTATGCATCCTGATATTAAGGGGATTGATGTGGCTGGTTCCCAACATAAATTGTCTCTGTTCGCAGACGATATACTGTTGTCAATCACGAATCCAGGGGTCACTTTGCCAAATTTTCTTGTGGTTCTGGATTCCTTTGCAAATCTTTCGGGTCTTCATGTTAATCCTGCCAAATCAAAAGCTATGTCAATTACTCTCTCCTCCTCACTTTTGGCTACTCTGAAACATTCATTCCCTTTTCAATGGCTCTCGGCACTACCATATCTAGGAATTAAGCTTACCCCGACATATGACGAATTATACCGGGATAATTTCCCCACTGTTTTCCAAGAGCTGACCGAGAGGTTGTCCTCCTGGTCTCATTACCCACTTTCATGGTTTGGCAGAATCAATGCGATCCGTATGACCTATCTCCCTATATTACTGTATTTATTTTGCGTCCCTGTTCCTTCGCATATATTGCATATCCATCAGCGAAAACTTTTGTCCTTCATTTGGAGTTCTTCTCGACCCAGGATTAGTAAACATATCTTATTTGCGTGAAGGAGTGAAGGTGGGCTATCTGTCCCAAATCTCCAGTCTTATTACCTGGCAGCTAATATTGCCCCCCAGCTCATATTCATGCATCTCACCATTTCCCCTTGTGGGCCACTGTAGATTTGTTAAACTCCCATCTGATACTACTCTCTTCCTCACCGTGGCTCCCTTTTTCTCATCGTCCTTCAACCCTTAGTCCGACGCTGAAGCTTTCGCTTCGTCCTTGGGATTCCATTAAATATTCCGCTGGCCTTATCTCTGCCCATTTACCGTTGTTACGTCTGTTACATAACCCAATATCCCCTCCAGGCCAGGACAATCCTAGGCAATTTGCCTGGTGGCAAACACATGGTTTTTATGATGTAGACTCGCTATCTCCTACTCGCATACTTACCTTTGAAACTCTGCGCTCTTCCTATAACATTCCTTTGTGGGAACATTTCGGTTACCTTCAACTCCATCATTTTGTTAATACACTAATACGGACGCACTCGGGACCTTACGTCTGTCCCCCTTTGAAAGCCAGTGCAGATATAGACCCCATGCTCCGGGTCTGATCTCTTTGGTCTACTCTGCCATTATTACTTATAGAACTCCTCCGGTTCGTTCCTATCATCGTCGGAACTCTGGGGGACTTTGGATCAACAAGATTGGCGGACCTTGACCGAAGCATTATCTAAATGTTCGAGGAATGTCATTCTCGAAAACGCCTACAAAATTCTTTATCGATGGTATTATACGCCTGCTCGTCTAGCTAATTTTATCCCCACATAGTCTCTCGCTTGTTTCCGGGGGTGCCAACAATTGTGTACTACGGTTCACATCTGGTGGACTTGCCCTAAGGTTAGCAGATTGTGGATTAGGGTTTATGCTCTTCTCCGCACTATGCTTCACGCAGACATTAAGTGTGACCCGTACGAAGCGCTCCTATTTAAACCACTGGAGGGCCTTCTCCGCCCTGAACGGCAGCTGGCATCACATTTATGGCTACTAAACTGACTATCACGAGGGCTTGGAAGACTCCTCTCCTCAGCTTCGAGGCTGTCAAAAACCGGATGAACTCCATAAAGGTTAATGAAAAATTGACAGCTATACTGTTGGATACCCATACATTCCTGCAGATATGGCACCCCTGGCTGGCGGCAGCCCACCCATCGAGATTTGACCAGTCCCTTCTGTTGATTTGAGGATCGATTCTGTTGCTGTGGCCCTGGAGCCATTTTGTGATTGTCTTTGTTTTTATGTTTTGTTTTTGTCCTCGTCTTTTCATCGATTGTTCCTCTCTATTCTTCTGTCCAATTTGTTCTTATGCTAATTGTAATGATTGTGATCATTGCTATAAGTGCTACATCTGCAATACTACCTATGCAACCCAGACTCCTTTGTGAGCCCAATGTCTGGAATATATATATTAACATCTGGAGAGGCTTTTCCTCAGGCCTCTCCTGTTTTCAATACACTGATATAGCAAACATTTCTATTAGAGTTTGCATTTTCATTGACCTCCAAATGTTTGCTCATCGTTTCCCCCTTACCCCTCCCCCCTTTTTTTCTGTCTTCTCTTCTATGACACTTAAATACTCAGATTATGCTTATATTTCTACCAGTTTTGCTCTGAAATATTTCTAAAAATGCCCTGTATGTCTCATATTTGTTGGTCAATGAATATCTTTCCCGAATGTGTGTTTATTTCTGCTTATTCCATAATAAAACCCTTTGTAAAAGAATGTCCTGTTACACAGCTATGAAGCACATAAAATGGCTGCAG